TAAGCTTTGGATCGCTAACCGTCAGAGTTTGCATGCTGAACGATACTACGCTCGTACGTCTCGATTCTTCGTCCATACGCATTACGATGATCGAAACAACGCTACGCCGTATGTTTGACTTTGACTTTGGGTGTATTGATGTAACGTTCAAATGATTAGCCCAACTCGTCGATACGGTTGATGTCAAGTATACGCGATTCTCTAATATCACATCTGAGAACGCTATACGCGGTAGCGACATTTTCAATGAACATCAGGGCGTCGATTGCGAGCTATTAGCTTTAGTTTTTAATACGTATAAAAAAAACGATGTAATAACATGTGAATAAAACAATTTTTTTCGCATTACTACATATGTATTTTCTTTTATTCCCCATCCTTTGCCTCGACGCGCTAATAAAAAACCTACGCATTTTTTGCGACATTTAGAGTTCTATAGTCTGCAAACATTTATGATCTTAAGTGTTTCATATGCAGCGCAAATGTATCCTAGATAGTCTCGCTAAAGCAAAGGATGCTTCTCAGCGTCAGTTTTTGCCAAATTTCATCTACGCGAGGTTCGTGTCGTTTTGAATTATATTTCGAATTATAGTAAAGAGTTTGCATCGTAAATGATTTTGATAAACGTGCATGGGTATTCTACCATTTAGGTGGTAGCATACTTTTGCACGCTTGTATAATTAAGTGAAAGTGAAAGTGACAGTTACAATAGTGTAATTTTTTTTTAGAAAAAACTTTTATGGAAAACTTTTTCCTGTAATAACAACAACTATGAGCAATTTGCAGGAGTTACTTGAAATATGCTACGAGCATCTTGTTGAAGGAGTAAGTAGTTTTTTCCTTTTTTATGTATGTTAGATTTTGTTAGCGAATTTATTTTTCTAATGTTTTTTGACTTTTTATTTTTTCAGTACATGGTTGATAATCTAAGAGTCGTACGGAACGAGGTTGGAGTTTTAGTAATTCCTCTGGTAAGTTCAGTATAAATTATAAATTATAAATTATAAATTATAACTTATAAATTATAAATTATATATAGAGTATTTTCTAATTATCTTGTTATAATTCACTTTTTCTAATTATCTTTTTTTTTAATTTATTTTTTTCAGGAGACACATCGTAGTCATATCAGGATAAAAGAGTTCATGAACATCTTTAATACGCGGATAATTCGTACAAAAGGCGATGGGACCGGGAAGAACAAATAGATATATGGGAAAAAGGTGATTTCTTCTTGGCGGCACTCTTCGGTCTCCGACCGTACGAGCCCGATTCGGAGCCGGAAGATTGGAATTGTAAGTTTGTTGAAATTTTATTAATAAAATTAAAAAAAACACTTATATATATTTGTATTTGTTTATTAGAATATATGACTTCTGGACATCGAAGGTTGGTTATATGCTCCTGAATTGTTAATTTTCTTAATATTAGCCACTGAAATATTGAATTTTTCCAATAATATTCTTGTAATATTTTCATAATAACATTCCAGTTATATTCATGCAAGATTCATCTTAAAGCGCACAAAATTCACGTAACCTGCGCGCAAGATTCATGTAACATGCGTGTAAGAGTCTTGTAACATGCTCATAAGTAGGTTGTATAAGTTAATGTTTTTTTTAAACTAAATTAAGTTAAAATTATGGCCTACAAAATTAATAAAATGAAGTTAAAAGTTGAAGAAATAAAAAATTAACTTAATAAAAGTTAAGTAAAGATTGGATTAACTTAAAAAAAAAGTTAATTTTGAAAAAATTGTTTTTGAGATAAGAATGTTCTAATTTTTCTTAAAATGAGATTACTTTAAATAACACTTACAGTATAGATTATTAGGTAAACTTAATTTCTTTATTCATATGTATGTTACTTATATATAGGGTGTCTCGTAAGTTTTTGCCAAGTACTTTTGTATAGATAGAGCGGATTAAACTAACAATAAGTCGAAAAATCCTTTATCATTTTGCAATTTTTGCAATAGTTAACAAGATATCAATTACTAAAAATTGTCGAATTTTGATCTTCAATAATTTTTTATTCTTAAATCTTGCGAGAGAGAAGGGTATATATTTACATTATTTATCTTTCATAGTCTTTATTTAATTTTCTTTAACTTCTGAAACGACTGTTCACACATGTTTATGATTATATCGACTAGATATTTATTTTAAAAAAATATACGTAAAAATTTAGAAAATGGGTGGATATGTGTGCAGCACTGTTTCACAACAATTTTTCATCTACTACCCAATTCCTTCATCTCTAGGTAACTTTATCCGAGAGACATCTCCCAGAGTAGGACAATGGAGATATCTTCTGGAGAAGATTATCCGCAATACATCTGAAAGTGGAGAAATTGAGCAAGGTTCATTTCATATTTATGTTGCTGAAATACGAGTATAATGTTTATGAC